AACCAAAGCTAACGTAGTTCAGGTCCACTGCTTTAAACAACAAACCAACAGACCCAGCATTGAAAAGCAGGGGCTGTAAGAAATGAGCAACTCTTTAGTCTCGGTACTAATAGAACACTGTGCTGTGAAGTCAGAAAAAAGAATTAAATAATGTATTGGAATCTCAGAATTGGTTTTGGGTTTTGCCTCTGTGTAATTTAGGTCTGAATTCTACTTAAGTGCTAATTTTAAAAGGGTCAAATAATCATGCTCTACACGTGAAGCCCCACCCCCTACCTATTTCCTCCCCTGAAGCCCTATTTGTTCACATGCGTCTGATCATTTATACAGACAGCTAAATTTACTTAACCGTATTTACATTTGTTCCTCTAAAGGTACTTAGGTAGGAACAGTAAGGTTAAAAAAAGAACCATTATTTACTGAGTGCTTGAAATGTGCCAGGCACTGTTCTAAGCTTTACATAGAAGGCTTCATTAATTCTTCCGGGAGACCAACTTTGTGAAGAAAGCATTGTTATCCCCATTTATAGGGAAGATGCTAAGTGAGGACCAGGGTTCACTTGCTCAGGGTCACATAGCTGAAACCCTAATTCAGCAGCCTGCTCCTTTAACCACTTACTTTCCCCCTAAAAAAGTGCCAAGTAAACAGAATGAGAAAGTCACAGTCTAACCACTTGGTTCTCTTTCACATAACGATCAGTCATAGAGTTACTGATTGCTCATCATGTCTAGGAAGTGTGCTTGAGGGCTGGAGAGATGGCGGCTCAGTGCTTAAGAAGAACACTGGATGCTTTTCCAGAAGACTGGGGTTGGACATGGTGGCTCACAACCGTCTGTAACTCCAATTCAGGGAGTCCCAACAGTTTCTTCTGGCCTCCATGGGCACCAGGCATACACATGGTGCACACACATACATGAAGACAAAATACCCATAATTTTATATGTATATAATATAAATATATGTATATAATGCATATAAAAAATGAAAGATTCAAAAAAGGAAGTGGACTTGCGTGGACACCCAACGTCTTTCCCACAGTGAACCAGGGCAGATGGTGACTGGCGTGGAGACTTAGCTGGACCTCCCCTGACCCTGCCCACTTGCACAGGCTCCCTTTAAGAGGATAACAGTAAGAAGTCCTCCAAGAGTAAGGATTAATGAGATGACTTATTTCACACAGGATGTCACATGAGTATTATTACTCCTAACATCTGACCCTGTTCTTGAGGATCTGGGATGAAGATCATGAAAATAATTAAGAAAAAAAACCACAGAAGGTTCCATAAAGGAGAATTTCTCAAACTGGATCAGAGCACTGACATGTCTGGGGCAGAGAGAGGGGCAAGAGAAAGTAGGTGGCAGTTATACTGAGGAGTGGGCTGTAACTGATGCCAAATCTGGACCCAATGTTTTCTAAGTTTATTTTGTACAAGGTGTTTCATGCATGAGTAAATATTTTGTTATTTTAGATTAAGTAAATTGCATTTATCAAATACCTTTTATATATAAGGCATTGCAATAGGATTTTCTCATATATGGCATATCATTAAATGCATTGGTAGTTCAGTGGGTCTTGGCTGGAGCTTCGTTCATTCCTGGACTTGAGAAGGGACAATCATGATTCAGAAGATGTGAGTTACCTAGTATTTCTACAGATCCACATGGGTTCTTACATTAGGGGTTGTGCTATGAATACATACAATTGCATTTTTGTGACTGGACAAGTTCATGCAAAAAGAATAACTCAATACATTGCAAATCTTCAAAAATAATTCAGTTTTTAAAAATAATTTATTTATATTTACTTTATGTATGTTGGTGTTCTGCCCACATGTATGTCTGTGTGAAGGTGTTGGGTCCCCCGGAGCTGGAGTTACAAACAGTTGTGAGCTGCCATGTGCGTGCTGGGAATTGAACCTGGGTCCCCTGGAAGAGCAGTCAGTGTTCCTAACCACTGAACCATCTTTCCAGCCTATTTTTGTTTTTGTTTTTTTAATTTAGCAATTAGCAGAGGTGTGATGCTTAACACTAGTCTTTCTCCTGTGCTAACAGGGTCTAAATATTCGAAGACACTAACCTGACTTTTCCTTCCTATCCAGAGCAGAGCACCAGTTCTGTGCTTGTTCCTCCTATTGTGGGTAAAGCTGATGAGGAAACGGCCAGCCACCCACCTCCTTCCAAGACAAAGAGCAGGGTTTGCTTTGCCTTCAGCAACCAGGTCTTTCTTCAATGGCTTATCACTCTTGCCTGGTTAACTAGAGGGATCCTCTTCTTGTCTGCGTAGACTCTACATCGGTGGTACCTTCCCAATGCTGCAACCCTTTAATACAGTTCCTCATGTTGTGGTGACCCTCAACCATAACATTTTCATTGCTACTTCCTAACTGTAATCGTTGTTACTGTTATGAATCATAATGTAAGTATCGGTGTTTTCTAATGGTCTTAGGTGACCCCTGTGAAAGGGTTGTTCAACCTCGCAGGGGGTCGTGACCCACAGGTTGAGAAGCACTGCTCTAGTATTTCCTTTCTTCATCTGTCTGTCATTCATAATGTGACTCCAGTTACTACTCCCATTGTTCCTCTGCATGAAACTTGCACTGACTCCCTATTGCCCCCAAGATGAAAATGGAAGGGACCTCACATGCCCTATCAAGGTTTCACTCCTGGAAGCATTCTACTTTTCCAAAGCCAGTCAGCTATTCTAGGAACAATGGACAATATGCTCTATACTATGACTTTGAACTTGGTCCTCTGAACACTGAGGATTTTTCAGAGACCATTTTCAAATAAATTCCTATCTCCTTATATTTTCTTCAACTTGTTTTATAGAATAATTGCTATAAAAATTAGAAGAATTATTTCCTCTATACTTCCATTAAAAATTTTATAGCCTTAGAGTTAAGAAATATTAAGATTAGAAAGGGACCTAAAGTTGGATACTTTAACACAGAGAGTCCTTTTGGGGGGGATTCAAGCTCTGCCCCTCATCCCAGGAATTGCACAGGCCAGCCTCATGAGTGTCTATGAGCACCATCCACGGACAGCATTTTCGCAGCCAGTACTGAGACTCACTGCCAAGTGCTCTTGGTGCAGGTTTAGTTTCCACTGAAGAGATGAGTCCAACAGTGTTATCAGATGGGTTCTGTAAAGATGACATACTCACAGCTTTCCGCCTTGTTTTAAAGCATGCTATCGTTCAAAGACAATTATCATCTGAATTTTCACGAACAATTCTGAATGTGCTTAATCAAACTTAGTAGCTAGCTCTTGTTACTAAAAATGGCCATGAATAAAATGCAAACTGTTTTTATGTATTACATAAATAAATACTGATGTTGGTACAAATAATAAAAATTCTATTCTATTTTGTAAATATACAGTCTTTACCAGACCTCCAGTTTATAGTTAAAATACACTTGGAATTTAAAAATAAAAAGGGAGAATTCAGTTATTAATGGCAGTAGACTATATCGGAGATGATCTAGACTCAATTACTGTTCCTAATATATCAATGACTATCAGAAAAGAAATTTAAGGAAAATATGACAGTGTGTCCAAAACAGCTTAACTACTTTGTGGAATAATTTACCTGTTTTCTTTCTTTCTTTTTTTTTTTTTTGTTTTTTGTTTTTTGAGACAGGGTTTCTCTGTGTAGCTTTGCGCCTTTCCTGGAATTCACTCTGTAGACCAGGCTGGCCTCGAACTCACAGAGATCCGCCTGCTTCTGCCTCCCGAGTACTGGGATTAAAGGCGTGTGCCACCACTGCCCAGCAATTTACCTGTTTTCAAATACATGATTTACCTAGGGCTTGAACAAGGCCTTAGCTGTAGTGATGACACATACCATCAGAAGAGGAAACTGGTCCCATACAGAACCTCATTACCACAAAGGATTTTGTAAATTAAATAGTAATTTACAAGAGCCTAATGGCTGTAGCATACACTTAGGATGAAAACGAAATGCCTCGTTCACACTGAGGACTGGATGAAAGTGCTACAAATTTTCTAATCTGAAAACATAGTGAGATAATTATCTTCATTGCTTCTCTTCATTAAGGACCAAAACGTGGATCTATGCCAGCAAACTGTGTTCCTATAATTCAAAATATACTACTTTAAAAAATTACAAATTTATTTCTTATTTAAAGTTTAGAAGGTAGGGCCAAACTCCAATCCTATAGGAGTCTGTGGGAGTTCTCAGCAGGAGCCTCATCCTATGCAATCTGCTAATAATGAATCACTTTTTCTTGTTTATTTTAAGAACTCTGCCAACAAGTTGGGGTTCACAACATAAATGTACTTTAGATAAAGATATTGTAAATAGAGTATGCAGCTGCAAATTCAGCACATTATGATAGAAATTCGTTTATGGTCCTATGAATATAAAACAGCAAGTCAGATGGATATCTCAGATGCAATCTACCATCCTAGACTGCAAAAACATTCTAGCCATGATATTAAAATAGCAAACCTTTGCAGAGCGTTAACCTATCATTACTCGGAGTAAATGGCATGACACTGCCACCTAATTAGCAGTGTGGCTTGCATCTATAAAACAGAATTAGCACCACTGCTCCTTTTTTATTCTTAGTTTGTGTTTCCACAAAGGTATGACCTTATCTGTATGCTTCTCTGTTCATTTATGCCCATCTACAAAGGATTTAATTATGTTCTTTTGGTTTTCTACACTGAGGAAATTGAAAACTGCCACTTGGAAATTAAAAATCTTAAAGAAATTAGCGAGCAGATTATTTACAACACACCCTCCTTTCGGAGATAAGGAACGGAATGCCTTTGATTAAGGGAGGCATACATTTTTCAGAGAAGGAAGCCCCAGGCAAGGAGGTTCTTACTAGTCTTCTCTTCCTCCTCCTCACATGAATTCCTCCAAGTTTCTCTACTTGTTTGGGCCAGAACTAGTTAAATGGAGAGTGTCTTAACACTCTAAGGTTCCTAAAACTTCTATCAACTGGGTCGGCAGCCAGGAAACATCAACTTACATCTGAGGAAGGCGATTCGAGAACAATGCCAAATCCCAGGACGTGGCTCTCCTCAGTGGAGGTGTGCTCTGCGGCTTGGAGACCAGATGGCCTTGTGGCCACGGCTGCTGGCTTCTTCTCAATTTCCAACGGACTGGGCTTTGGTTTCACAGTCACAGGTTCCACAGTCTTTGGGAGCACCTTTTTCTTTTTATTTCTCTTGCGTGAGACAGCAGTTCGCTGGGAGCATATAAGGGAAATTGGGGGTTGTTGTCTGTTTTGAGTTCCAACTGTGGACAATAAACACAAATATGGTACAGGCACTTGTGTCTGAGGAAAACCTACCCGGGTCTGTCTCTGTGATTTACAAACTGACAGTGAAGTGAGGTTCCCTCAGGATGAAGCACAGGTAGGTAAGTCTCACTCTGCACAGCAAGGCTGCCAGAGGCAGCCAGGGCCACCTTACAGTCCTAACCGCAGAGCATCATCCAGGAGAAAACCACTCTGAACACAGTGGATCATGGACCACTACAGCATCCTGGCTTCGACGGAAGGAAAGGGTTAAGAGCTATGGAAAAATATGGCTTCATGAATCATGTGACAGGTTGGAATGAGAACTCCAGAACTTAAATTTAGGTACAGATGCTCATGTTCTCTGGTAAGCTCATTTCAGCAAAACCCCTACTGTCCCTTAGAGTTCAGCTGATCAGTTACAGTCTACAAGGGCTGAAATGATGATATTTTGGACAAGGCTGGTTGAAAGAAACAGTTGGGAAGAATTCTATCTAGAACAGGGCTGGGTAAGCACATGGGCAAGTCATGTTGATCACTTAATCTTGCCAAGTCTTTCTTTCCTCATCAAGTATCCTCTGCACGTCAACTACCTTCAGCGTGCTGTGTTCCACGGCATCAGACAAGGCCGCTTGCTTCTCCAGCTCTCACCTTTACATAGTGAAAAGTAGGAATGACATGCTGTGAGCAGGTCAGGTCCATCAGCAAATCTACAAATGGTACAGTAGCAAGTGTTCACAATGAACACTTACTTAAGGAATCCAAGATGGCAAGTTTACTTTTCACAGGGGTGCTCTGAGAAGGAGAATGTATCAACCATTCTGATGGAATGTGAAATAGGAAAATATGGCTTCAATTTGCATCAAATCCTCCCCTATCAACATGGCTTCCTAAATAAAGACCACAAGGTGTGCCTGTTTTTTTTTTTTTTTTTAACAGAACGAAACCTATAAACATAGCCACATGAAAACTAAGTCTTTAAATGCACATCAACACAGCCTACTTCCTCTTACTTATTTCCTGTAAGTCTGGAAATCAAGACTATTTACACTGATCCAAATATTTTTACCTCTGCACTAGAAGGCAATTTCCAAGTTTTACTAGCTGGATTGTTTAACTATGCACATGGTGATTTAGCGACAATGGTTCTAGATCTTAACTACACACTAGAATCAGTGTGGAGTTTTGAAAGTACTCCTGTGCCTTAAGAACCTGTCCTGGACTCAGTGGGTCAGAATGTCCAGTGGTGGGGCCAAGGCATCAATATCATTGCAAGGATTCTCCAGAGATTCCAGCACACAGCCAGCTGCATTTTAATTCCAGGTGAGCCTGTCTTGTCCACAGGGTCAAATGGACTCCAGAAAGCGTGAGCAGGAATAGCTAGGCTGCAGCCCCCAGACCCAAGCTCTTTCTAAACTCAGTTGTTGAAATGTTTTTGGTGTTCAGACAGGGATACTGAGTCTCGCTTCTGCAAGTCTTGAAAGAGCCCAGTCTTCCTGCGCTCAAATCTGCTTGATCTAAGTCCTTGCCTTCCTGTAAAACAAAGGTGAATCTTTCAAAATAGAATTTCAATCTAAGTCTCATGGGCAATAAACTTAAAGTAAATCTGCCCACATAACATGAATTTTTAAATTGGAGAAAATTAAAGGAGAGTCGTTTATTTAGTTTATCCTTTTTGTTCTCCACAGCTCTGGAATCATTTGCCTCGCTAATCTGCAAAGGTTCAGAAGGGAAAACATGGCGACAAAATGGCATTTACTTAATAGATTCTAAAAAGGCTCCCGTCAAGGATTTACATGGGTGCAATTTGTAGTCTGCCATTTCAGTAGTAAGGAGCTTAAGTAACAAAATAAATCATTACAATTTCATATGCATGTTTTTTAAGTACTAACAAATTCCCTCTCTGTGAACAGCACCTACAGAGTGAAGTGACCTTTCTTTCTGAGGCCCTCACGCAGGAGATGGCAGCCTCTGCCGGCTAATATGGACACAGGGTGTCATGGTGGAACAAGTGAGTCAGGTGCCTACTGACTTGACAAAACGCTTATTTCTACCTTGGGACAAGACCAAATTTGGTCCTTTAAAATATGTTGCCTAGAAATCCTTTTGGTTTCTCTATAAATTTGATTGTGGGTGACTGATACATCTAAGTATTGAGCTTTGTATATCAAAACCACATCACAGAATGTGAGGATTTTACTAGAATGCATTGGCTGGTACCAAGTGCATTTTCTGAGGGATGACTTTGTGAACACAACCATGATGAGAGTCAGAAGGGCCATCAGCACAAGGCTGGGCTGCTTTCCTACATTAACATCAACCAGCAGTTTCCCCATCAGAGGGATTTGTTCTTTTTTGCATATGTGACAAAATCAAAAATCCAATTTTCTTACTAACTGTGAAGATTGGAAAATAAACCACTAACCCTTGACTTCCAAACTTCTACAGAGAGCTGAGGGACCTTTAGAAGACACTGAGGTGTGCAGCCTACCTTACAAAATCTCATTTTCTGTTGCTATCTCCTTCACATTTAAAAACAACCCCAAGAAGGAGATATTAATAGTCCACTCAGAGGTGAGAATGGGGAGGCCTAGAAGTTGTCCAGCTACAGGGGGATAAACTGGGAATTCAACTACCAGCTATACACACCCTGTTTCATTGTTGACCTTCCCCAATGACAAAGACAAGAGAAAGTCAAGTGAAAGAAGCGGACAGACACGAGGTATGTCTGATCATCTACACCCTGGTGCAGGCAGAGAAGTCACAAGCAGAGCCTGTGGCTCGCCACTTCTCATTTGCTCACGTCCTTGAGCATCTTCAACAGGGAAGCTTGTATTTCCTGAAGGGCTCTTTCACATAAGATATTCCAAAATTTAATTAACTGGCATTTGTGAAGTACCGGGAGATCATGGGATGAAGTACGCTGAGTTCATGTGTATAAGCCTGACAGCAGTATTAGGGGCAATAACAAAATTTGTTTGATTTGCTAAAAAAATAAAGTAAGACAAAATCACAGGTTGTTGAAAAAGTTGAGAAAATGAATAGTTGAAAAGGCACAGCAAGACAGCAAGAGGGGAGGAGTGTGGGACAAAAGGACAATGCACACAACTGAAGATGTCAGCTCCACACTCACAATCAAAGGATGCATTTGGAGGGCTGAGCTTTGTACCTGCTTGAAACTGCATTAATTTCCTCATGGTCTTGAGTTCTTGGAGAATGGCCTGCAACGTTGACTGGCAGTTACAAGTACAACAGTTGGATCCAGCTGATGAATTCACCCCTGGAAGTTCTCCTAAGCATGAAAGAAAAAATGATATACTTCCAAAGCATGCAAAAAAAAATAATTATAAAGAAAAGAAAAAAAAAAACGTATCTTGACAGGATTTTGAAGTATGTACAATTATCATCAAACTGTGCCAGAAGAAAATGTACCTAGTAATTTTCACAACCTGAATTCGGGGGTCTGACTTTATCTAATTATCCAGCCTTCTGTTTGTAAGGAGCATGCTGTGTCACAGATAGCAAGGTCTGTGTGAACACAGGCCCACAATGCTCTGCGCCAAGGCAGGCCTGTCTACTGCGAGGCCAGTTCATCTTGGAGAACAACACTCTGAAAAGTCGTGATAAACACTCATGCGACTTTCTCTTACATTTCTGGTTGTGAGCCTAGCCTTAGATGGCTGGGCCATCTCTCCAGCCCTCATGCTACCTTCTCAAACAGTAAAAGCAAAACCAGAAAGTCCCAGGTCTGCATCAGCCTCACAAAAACCACTGTTAGCATGCATGTTACCAAGTTCACATTAAGAACCAAAGCAGCCTAACGGAAACTAGTCTTACTGGTCGGCCTGCCATGTCAACAGCGAAGAGCTGTGGCTACACAAGAACTTCTGCAATATTCTCTGGCTGGGGTGGAGAGAAGCAGGAGGCAGGTGGGAGGGCCTGAAAGCTCTGAGGTGTCTGTAGGTTGCTTTTCTTCTTGAAGGAGTATCCCTCTTTTCTCCACCCTGCTTCTTACAATCTCCATTACCAGTCTCCTTCCCACTGTTTAAATTGAATGTATTTTCCTTAACAAAGCTACTCTCCTCTGTTTGCCCTGTATATGCACAAGTATTTCCCCATTGTTTGTGAACTAAAACAGCACATTTGGAAAAAAGCTCCGCAGCTGGATCTCTCCAGCCCCAGGTTATTGACCATGAACTGGGGCAGTCTAAGGGGCAGCTACTTAAGTTTCCAACAGGCAGGGAAGGTCAAGTTCTAAGGTTTTGTTCCAATTCTGTGTTTTATATATTGGCTATAATCCAACTCCTATAATACTCATTATTTGTAGATACTGAAGTTTACCACAGCAAAACCACAAAAGAATTAAAGGTTACTTCTGCAGCAGTGCAAGTATTAACATTCAAATGCTAGCAAAGAGAGGTGGCCCAACTTTAGTATTACCAACTATCCCAAAGAAACACATGGCAGTCATAGCTGTATCCTAGTGACCCTTGAGCAGCTCTAGGAGGTGGCAGGGCAGAGCCTCAAGTGAAGCTGAAGATCCCACTCCACTTTTAATTCCCCACAGTGGTAACAGGAGGTAGCTGAAAAATTTACATTTGTTTACATTTCTCTTAACTGCAAATCACATCATGAATAGTCTATAGAGTTTGTGTGCCTAAGTTGTAATAAATCTTGATTTTTTTTAAATAAGAGGTGTATGTATTTTGGTAGTAAATGATAATAGTAAACAATAAATGATATTATCTACATATTTTATGCATTGATGACATGTCCAACTTTCCCATAATTTTTTACTCTCTCTAGGCTCTGAGGTCCATGTGAGAATTTGCACAAACTGTTGCAAATCTCTACAAAACAGCTTCCTACAGGCAGACGTGCATAATCCCAACATATGTTATTCAAAGGCCAACTGTATAAAACGTTTATATGTCTATGTGTGCATGGTATGTGCATGAGTATATATACAAAATCATATGAGCATGCATGTGGGTGTGTGGAGGGTAGAGGTTGATGTCAGCTGTCTTCCCTGAACTCTCCCCACAGTTTTCTGAAACAGGGTCTCTCAATGAACTTGGAGCACACTGATCTGCTCAGACTGAGTGGCCAGTCTGTTCTTTCTGACTTCATCCTGCTAGTGCTGGGATTACAGAAGCTGCATCTGGATTTTATGTGGGTTCTGAGGATTTGAACTCAGGTCTCCACACTACGTGACAGACATTTTAACAACCTGAACTCTCTCTTCAGTCCCTTGTATAACATATTTTTACTGAAATGATACAAGCAAGAAACATGAATGATCTATTTTGACTCTGATTTGGAGGAATTTTTGGTTAACTTTTAATATTAGTAACCGTCTCTAAAGTAAATCCAACATTCTTGTATATTGGTGAGTAGAATGTTACCCCAAAATCACTGATGCGGGAGGATCACACTTACTGTATACCCCAAGGACCCCCTTTTTCTTGTATTGGCAGTAGAGTGAAGAGGGCTTTTTTACAGAATATTCCTAGGCACTAACCTGAGCACTATCTTTATGATTTTTAGAGGACAAAACGAGCCCTTCTCAGCTCATTATAAATCATTTTCCAATTTTAAAGAGAACTGCCTTTTAATTTTTATGGAGGAGGCTTTAAGGAGCGACTGTCCTCGAGCCTGGAAGTCTGCCAGCATGTGAACTTGATACTTGCCTACGGAATACTGAGAAGAGAAGACACCGTACAGCTCTAGGGTCCCCTACTGTCTCATCAGTGTCTCAGGATGGCTTCTCAGTTCCCTGAACTGGTTACTGTGAATTGTGTTTAAGGAAAAAAAAAATCAAAACATTTTCCTTATACCAGAGGATATCATAAAATGAAAACGAAGGGTAGAAAATCCTTAACTTTTCAAGGAATCTGAAATGCCTTATTTTTCCTTTGTTCTCTGTGTAAACTATAGATCTGCACATCCATACATAATTTATAAAGCAAGTAACATCCAATGTCACTAGATGAGAAATTAATATTACCAAGAAAAACATCAATTATTTCCTTTAAGCTTTGAAAAATTTTGGAACCCCCACTCCCTACTTAACTAAATCAGGGATTTTAAAGAAATTTTACCTTAGAGCAGTGGTTCTCAACCTTCCTAATGCTGCAACCCTTTAATACAGTTCCTCATGTTGTGGAGACCCCCAACCATAAAATTATTTTGTTGCTACTTCATAACTGTAATTTTGCTACTGTTATAAATTGTAATTTAAGTATACATGTTTCCCAGTGGTCTTAGGTAACCCCTGTGAAAGGGTCCTTCAACCTCCCCCACAGGGGCCATGACTCACAGGTTGAGAAACACTACTTTAAAGGGATGAGTTTCAGCGTTGGAATACAGGTAAAGGACAGGGCTTTTACAAGAGTGAGCTGTGAGGCCTCTCTAACTAGGACTCTCCCGATGATGACGTGAAGTGAAGGGATAAGCAAGAGCATGCCTTAGTAACACAACACAGGACCAGGAAGCTTCTATTAGTGCTAACAGGAGCTGCTGCTGCATTAATGTCCAGTCTCTGGTGACAACCCTGTCTGTGTCCTGGCGGGTAAGAATTCTTACTTCATTAAAACTCTACTAGGAGCCTGCCTTTATTCAGCACAGACCCGCTGACTTTCCTGTCAAGTCTGGAGCTCTTATGCACTTAAGACTTTCTCTTTACACCTTCCCCTTCTGCCTCTTAAAACAACACGGCAAAGGAGTGGAGCTGCTGATGAGTAGAAGAATACTTGCCTAGCTATGTGAGATCCTCAGTCCCACACAAAGAAAGTAAAAAGAACCCAGTGAGGTGGGTGACTAAGGGAGGCCTTCATAAATCGATCTCCAAGAACAAACTCAATATTTAGGAATGAAACAAGCCAGGATACCTGCCCACAAGGATATTCTGAATGTTGGACAATCATACCATTGGAACTTGCAGAGGTGTGGGGCTGATTCTGGAAGGTTCTAGAACGGGTACCATACTGCCCTGAGAACTGCCCGCTTTGGGTTGGTAGTTCATTCCATGCCCCACGTGAAGGAGGGTGGAGGCCCTGCGGGGCCTCGGCAGCGGAGTTCAGACGCTGAGGCCAGACTAACTCCATATCCTGGGGCTCTTCTTTGAGTTTTTCTCCTTCTTTGCCAACACGCTGGTATATCCTGCCAGTGCTGTCGTTCAGCAATCTTCTCATCCCTGTAATCTGTTTTTTAATTTCCATGTTTTCATCTCCTAATGGAAACAGGGTCAAAGTTAGCACTATAACTCAGCAGAAGAGAGAAAACACCAATAGTCCACGGCCATAATCTCCAAAGCAAACAGTACTTCTTCGGAAATAGGAAAGAAGACTGATCCCATACTCTTAAATAATTCACAAAGTGGAAAGGAAGGAAAACTGGCTATGGCCTAAAGATTACGGTCCTGACACATCTCATGTCATTAAATGACTTTCTCACCAGGTTCACGATGAGAAAAAGCTTTCTTTAGTGTATGAACAGAAACCAACTTTCAATGTCCTCTTTGGAAGTATGTTAGGAGTAAGGGTTCATAGGGAAAAAAGCTCAGACAGAAGACCGAAGATGGAGCCAGCAGGCTCAACCACAGCCATCTGTGTGTAACTGAAATCGATGGCAGGTAGGGAACCAGTAACTTCTCCGGACCCTTATCTGTCAGCCTCAGTGAGCAGAGGTCAAAACAAAGAAGGCTGGAAGCAGAGTTGTTTAAAGCAGGTATTTTCTAGGATGGTATACTGTTGGTGGCAACATTGCCTTCATAGGAGATAATGGGAGACGGAAACACTGAGGGCCAGCATAGCAAGCAGGGAGGTCTTTGCTTCTCCGGAATGAGGCTGTTGCACGGATCCCTGCTCTAAATACTGGTTGTATCAGCCTGAGAAGGGAAGTGCAGCCTCTCTGCTCTGCCTTCTGTTAGAAACCCAATTCATCACGCTGGACTCTCCAACCCAAATCCAATGCACATCCCTCTCAGTGCCAACTGGGAACTTTGTGCAAAAGGTAACCACTGTTTCTAAACTTCATGTCACTTACACTGACTTCTTTTGTAAGTGAAAAAATGTGTATGTTCTAAAATTCACCATCTTAACTACTTCCAAGTTTACAGTTCAGGAACACATATTTACATTATTGTGCAAATAGTCTCCAGATCTGTTTTTTGAATTTCAACTTCTTTTTATTAAGAATCTTTTCCCCCTCAAGGAATGTTTTAATTTTTTTTAACCCAGGCACTTCAGCTGGGTGTGGTGGTGCACGCCCTTAATCCCAGCATTCAGAAGGCAGAGGCTGGTAGATCTGTGAGTTAGAGGCCAGCCTGGTCTACATAGCCAGTTCCAGGCTAGCCAGAGTTACATTAGATCCTTCCTCCACCCCAAACAAAACAAAACAAAAAACTAAGCTATCTCTATGCTATACTTATATTTAATAAACACAATTTTAAAATTGTACAGATATTTCAAGCTGCTACAGACACACTGTCTTCTCTCCTTTCCTGTGGTGCTGGAGGAAAGCCAGGGCCTGCTCCATGCTGGATGCATGCTACACCACCGTGCTACCTGCCCGGTCTCTGTGACCTTCAACTGTGCAGTGACAAGCATCCTCTCAGAAATGAAGTGTGCTTTTTTCTAACATAAGCATTGAAAGTCTTATTCCATACTACATACTTCACAGCCTAATAAATGCTTGAAATTTAAAACGTGAGGAGAAGAAAAAGACAGAAGAAACTATTAGGAAAAGTGTAGTATCACAAATAAACATATAATGATGTTTTAATGAATCATATAAACCAAATTTTTCAGGTAGAACCTGGTGGTTTCAGAAAAACCTATGCACTCTGCAGTATCTAGTTAGATACTCAGTTCATTAATGTATTTTATTACCAAATGTTGTGCAAGGAAATTTTATAAGCTATTCTGAAATACGTAACTTCAAAATTTGGGGGGGTGGAGCCTGGGGATCAACTCATGCTAAACATGAGCTCTACTGCAAGCACCCTAGCCCCTTCGATTTTAAAAATGGTGATAAAAATATTAATTCTGCCTTTCATATTGAACAGAATGCAGGAAAAATTCCTAAATTTATATTATTATGTGATAACATATGATTGAGAGGAGAAATATCTTAATTCGTTATAAATTTTTTTCTATTTCAAACTCCAGCAAAATTATAATTCAGAAACAATAAATCACATTCCACATTTTATGAGAATGAATGACCAAGCACGATTTAAATAATGCAGAATCAACGAAATTTATACCATTCTCACTATGTCTGTGGAGCAGGGTGTGTCTGGAAGAGCTCCCAGAGGAATTCTGGAAACAGACTACTGGCAAACGTAGACTCTCAGTGTTGGACACTGGCTTTCCCGGCCACCTAACAGCACACCCTCAGCAGGAGGAAGCACCTTTCCCCGTGTTTCCACTCTTGGCCCCTTTGCTCAGACTGGCCATGAAGTACTAGAAGCTGTGCACAGGCCGGCCTCCACGGGCACAAGCTAGCTGCTGCCTTTCCTTTCATTTGTGACTCCCGGGAAAGGAGGCTAGCTAGGCTAACAGGTTCTTGAGCGAGTGCCAGGCCACCTTTCGGCACTAACCCTATACATAACAGGAAGAGAGATGCTTCTTGACCAAGGTTCACCTGTGTTTGGAGGCTAGCATTCTATGATAAAGTGCTACCATGGGGGTGGGAGGAAATCATGAGGATTCTGGAACCAAGTCAGGGCAAAGATGCTTTGTCATGATTTAGTTTCACAGTTCTACAACTTGGGCCTGTAAAGATTAAGACTGAAAATAAGCCGGGCAGTGGTGGCGAATGCCTTTAATCCCAGCACTAGGGAGGCAGAGCCAGGCGGATCTTGGTGAGTTTAAGGCCAGCCTGGGGTACCAAGTGAATTCCAGGAAAGGCGCAAAGCTACACAGAGAAACCCTGTCTCAAAAAAAAAAAACAAAAACCAAAAAAAAGACTGAAAATACAACTCAAGTTTTGCATACAACAAAATACAACCTTGGTTTTGCTGATGTCCGGAATCCTAAGCAGCCCGGAGTAAAGAAAGAAGAAGGTGGTAGCACACAGAAGGACCTGGGGGCGGGCAGCACCTCTGAAGGTCAAAACACCTTCCAAAGGAAGGATAAAACTGAGCAGAACCAAAACCCAAAGTGCCAGGGGAATGGCGAAAGCAGGGGAGCTGGGAAGGAAGCGGGTTCAAGGTCCAAGGACTGAAGGCGCTTTAGAGGACAGAGAACAGAACTGCACACGACTGCAGAACTCTTCGTAAACTAGTCAAGAGACCAGAGGGAAGGCTGGAAAGGACCGGCTGAGGGAAGCGTCTTAGAAGAAGCAAGTTGGGCTCCTTAGTGGACAGCTCGGCATTCAGGAATGGACTCTGGATACTTCTTATTGTCTGGAGAAAAAGTGAGGAAAAGCTGTTGTCTCTGACAGTGTTCCCAGGGTGAAGGAAACCCTGGGACTCTTGGACAGGCAGTTTTGGCAGACAGAACGAAAGAGCTTTGCTTGCACATTCAGGAGAGATGGGGCTGAAGGTCAGAAATGAGACCCATGACTAAAGTAGGCACCACAGAAAAGCTGAGTCAATCTCCAGAAAGTGGAGGCAGACAGATGGGCCGAGACACGTGTGCCCAGACAACAAGTGTTAGCCTGTAGAACGGTAGATGAGGATGGGCTTCTGAAGATCTAGATTCACTTCTCAACTGCACTGACTTGCCATTGGCTATTAACAAGTTATTTGAGTTTCTGGAATCATAAAGGTTTGGCTTAGAACTGAACTATAATAACCTACAATAACCTAAGAGGTGTGTAGAAATAGTCTAGAAAGTGTTCAGGTAGTTCATAGTTTCCAAGATGTTAATTAAACACCTAATGCTTCTGGAGGAGACATGCATCTTCAGATAAAGGGGCCTAATCTATCCTAGTGGATTCTAAGTGCTTTGATTAAAAAAAATGGTAGAAAGTATGTAAGAGGTTGAGATTAAGGTACTGGTTGACTCCGTCTTTCTGAGTCTAACACATCAGTGTCTTTTCTGTGAACAGGTATCAGAAACAGTCTCAGGAGCGAGGTACTATTTAGAGATACAAGATTCTATAGGGAAACCTGTGACCTCCTGATAGCTTTCCAAGCCCATGTATATCTTCACTTATACTCAACTCCAAGAGACTACTCTACTTAGGAAAGACAAACCAAAGAAATCACCTCCTGGTTGCGCTACGCCATGCGGCTGTCTTGTTGGCCTCAATTTAATTCCTTTTTAGAGTATATAGTAATGGAGTCCATGAGACAACGCAGTCAGAAAAGTACTTGCTATGCAAGTGTGAGGCCCCGAGTTCAGATCCCCAGACCCATACAAAAGCTGAGCACGGCGGTATATACCTGTAACTCCCGGGCTGGCGTTGGGAGGGGCAGACAGGTGAGTCCCGAGAGCTTACTAGTGAGCCAGTCCAGCTGAGTCAGTAGGCTCAATGGAGGTTCAGTAAAAGATTCTGTCTGAACAAAGTGAGGTGGAGAGTAACCAGAGAAGACAAGGTCCAGAAAACAGCAGAGGCTGACTCTACTCTTCACTCAGTGTCAAGACTATTAGATCACTTTCCTTCACATAAAAAATTCATGTGATGCAGGATGTGATAAGTAAGAGGACAACATGGCAGTCTCCACACAGACTCTCTCTAATTTGGCCAGGTTACACCTGACAGGACATAATTATTCACTCTGGGTACTACAAGAAAAAGATAATAATACGTCACCTCCATGTGTCTTGTTCTCTCATGAAGGCACCAAGTGCTAGTATACAGTAGACATTCTTTAGGCCTTTCTGAAGAAGTTGAAGGAACTGGCTTATAAAACAGAAAGAGACCTAGTGGAAATAGAGGCCGACACCGAAGTAGTGAACAAGTAATATATCACTAGGACAGAGTGAAAAGGCACTTGACTATAGTCAACAGACATTTGTCAGGGGCTCAGAGATACAAAGACCACCGGGTACAAACTGAAAGACACTCCCCTCCAAATTTCTCAACATCTTTCCCCAAATCCTTTTGTACTGATTGGTTGCTCTGAAAACCGTCCCCAGTTCTCCCAGGCCCAGTGACCCCTTCTCTTCTGTGTCCTAGAACTTCAGTTAGCAGACTGCCTATTTGCAGAGCACATTTTCAGTCTGCTTCCTGAAGCTGGGACACGATTCTTCCCCAAGATGCTGCTTTCTTTGCAGT